GCGTGGCCTTCTGTGGACAAATCTAAAAATGTTTATTTTTAAAAAACGACAAAGAAAAACAGATGATATTGGAGCCGTCCTGAATTTCAATAGGGTACGTGCCATGAGGGCTTTTGCGCTGAAGGATGACCACGTCCTGGTTATGTGAAGAAGCCAAGACACCACCAGACTGCAATGCCGATTTCCTCTACTGCAAACAGTGTTCTGTGACAAAAAAGAAAAAAATATATCCAAGCTAACAAGATCCTGGCGTCCTGGTGTCTTATTTGCCTTGTGTCCCCCGGGGGTGTCAGCTGGAGGCCTAGGGGGACAGCAGTTGGACAGTCGGACCCGGGCAACTCCTTGTCCACCTAGTTCTTGGGAGGGACTCTTAAGGCTATGCATCAAGGTTAATTGAGGGGATAGGACAGGAGAAGCCAGGCCTGGCAGAGAGGAAACAGAAGGAGAGAGGTGCACAGAGACAGAGACCAAGAGCAGAGAGGGTGTTGTGGAGAGAGAGAGAGAGAGAGGGAGAGAGAGAGAGAGAACGTGGGAGTGCATGTCTGGCTTTTAGGCTGGGACACAGTCACCCGCTGATGACGTAATAAGGCACCAGACGAGACCCCCTCCCCCTAGCTGTGCATCTACAGAATTCTTACAGATTACTCTTTACCTCCATCTCCTCTTAGCTCCCCTACACCCTTGTCTACCCCGTATCTCCCACACCTTCTCATCTGTTAGCTTTGTCCTATGTGACTTTCCATGGCTTCCTTTGTAGCCTGGTGGGCTCAGCAGTGGCTATACAACTGAAGACAACAGCTTCCCGTCCTTAAGAATCTATCAATAACCGATAGTTCAGCAGGAAGGGGTAGAACGCTGTGAGCCCACCCCCATCCATGACTGTTAGCAGGACTGGTCTTGCGAATGCCCAGAGCAGGCAACCCCAGCACTGCGTTCCTGATTGCAAGGGTGATGCTGTACTAGAGGACATCATTGAGCAGCACATCCGTGTTCATTGCTGTTACGAATTTGCAGGAGTGGAGAACTCCCAGCTGGCCAGGCCAGGGTATCCCACATGTGAGGGAAAACACACTGGGCAGATGCAGCAGGGGCAGCTGCACGTGGAAAGTCATTCACACCCAGGCGCTGCATCCGCGTGGAGAGTTTATTATAATAGATGGAAAGAAAGGAAAGAGGGAAACGGAGGAAAGATAAGAGAGAAAGCTGAGGTGTGCACACATGGAAATGGAGAAAACAGAAGAGAGAGGAAGGGGGGAGGAGATTTTCCTTAAAATGAGGCTTTTATGTCAGGACCCAGGGTGGCCCCAAGGGATGGGTCAGAATATTAACAATTGCTGTTCTATTCACAGTAACTAAGAAA